AAGATGAAAAGAGCTAACCAGGTATAACACTTTCAGTACACCTCAATTGACTTTCTCAAGAAATAACCGACATGATTATTATATCATGTCAAATTCTGAGCACTCGAGTCGGCAAAGACGAACAACTTGTTAGTAATTATGAAGGACACGTGTTCGAGAAGTTTCATTTCCTGTTAGTCCCTTGAGTGTGTTGTTTAATGCAGCAGTAAGCACTTTACTTTGACACATAAAATATCCTCTAGTTTGTTTCTCAGATGAAGTAATGTTGATGGTATAAAGAGGTTGTTTTTTATATTTGATAGATCGACGTCTGACCACAATCTCGCCTGGTGGTAAGCGATTATGCGGTCTACGATGGAGCTCGTCGTCATGAGCAACTTTTTCACACGGGCCTAAAGACACCCAGTATACCCTTCAGGAAATACAGACTGGCAAGGAATGGTTGTTGAACATAAACTCCCAAAGCAAATGACAACACAAATGTAACCACGTTTCAACCTTTGATTGATCAAGATCATAAAATCAAATTTGAAAATTCAACTCAATTTTCACAATTTTATAGAACAGCTTTTTGATTCTGCCCTAGAGAACTTACCACATTATCAAAATTTCATAACGTATCATAATAATTTCTCATTTTTGACACTTTAACGTTCATTTTGAAGTTCACTCAATATGATGACGGGGCACAAATCCGAGCATGTCACGTCGTTTTTCGAAGGCTATAAGTTACAGCTACGAAACGAGTAATGGAACACATTATATCGTACCCAGAATACGTTAATCGTACATTCCAACATGTCAGTTTTAGACCCACTTTTACGATAGACATGTTTCTAAACGTAATGGTAACATTCCCGTTTATGTACCTTATTTGCGTGGTACTTGTAAAGGAAAAATGGTGTTTGGTTTCGGTAATGATAAGGTAAACGAACTCGTTTTGTTTGTATGAGGTAATCAAGTTGAAAGCGTGTACGTTTTATTATGGTACTACTTGTACATTGTGTTTCAGTATTTGTTTAGTAACAAAGTTGATCAGTTTGATGTTCTTCTGTTGGTATTTATTATAATAATGGGAACTGAATATCGTACTCAATAACTTCTGCTAACGAATTTGTCTATATTGATTCAAAACAAAAGTTTCTCTTTAAGGTTTTGACTGCCATTAGAAAACTGTTGACAAATCCTCCGCTAACGTCAGTCACCAGTGACTGACACGGCGTTTAATATGTTAACATATTAATTTCAAAGGCTATCCTTATTTATTAAGATATACCAGAAAAATATTGACAGAATAACTTACTGAAGAGCAGCAATTAAGCTTATATTTTAAAATACATAATTAGAACCGAATAATAATTCTAATAAATTCCAAAATACATTAATAAAGCCATGACATTAATATCCACCCACAAGCAAAACCGAAAACAAAAAGAGAGTGTAGGTGTTACCGTCAGTACTTTATAGAAAAACAGTCTCCAATGTCAGTGAAAACTTCAGAGACATTCTACAACTGAAACAAATGTGACATAATAACAGAATTAACTAATTTTGTGTTATTTACATCAACGGCGGGTGCCAGTTTATGAAAGGAGACCGAACGTGAACAGCTTGTGGAATTTGTTCAAAATAATTTAACGTATGTACTTTGTGTAAATAGATTATTTCACTAATCAACATTGTATTCATTCGTGTTGCGTAATGCTAGTCATAGCGAGGATTAAAAAAATACTTTTGAATTCTGGTATTAAAACTTCATCCAATTGGGTAGTTTCCATGGTATCAAAATTAAAAATCTAATTAGTCCGTCAGTTAGATGATGAAAAAATATTAGACACATATTTTTTTATTTTCTCGTATTAAGTTGTAAACTTATACAAAATGGCTCTAAGTTTAGGAGTGGGAGGTTGTTACGTCATAACGTGCTAGAAAATGTGGCACGCTGTGACGTCACACGATATTTTAAATTAATATATCGTCGAAAGTATTTTAAATTTTGTGAGAAAAAAAATACGTGCCTCAAGTTTTAAATTAATGTACCAGACGGACATTAAAATAAAATTTAGGAAACTACCTTATTTAAGGATTGGTAAAAGTACTTCCTATGAAAAAGAGATAAGGATCAAAATTACACCCTCGAAGTTTCGTTTATCTAATATTACCTACTTGTGTACCAGCTACTCAAAAAAAACGGACATCAATTTAGGTGCATCTTGTTCAAAATGATCAGAACTATTATTCTATTAAAAGATAAACAAAAAATGGCCGGGAAAGATGAGAACCCGCTTCAAGCCAGGGTACATACTAGTATGAACATATTAAGGGATTATCCAGTATTTACAGTGATAAGAAAATGGCAAATGCAATTAGTACAGTTAATGAACTTTTAAGCTGCAGCTGTAGGAAAATAGGATTGTACGTAATTAAAGTCTTTTGCACACAATCCGGAGAATTCTTTCTAACGACACTTCTTAGAATCTTTTGTATATTGAGGAGATTTCATTTCTTAGAATGAAATATTTTACAAATTTCAACCTTTATACAAATTCTTCCAATTACATTAATATTATAAATGTAAAGTTTCTTTGTTTGGATGGTTGGATGTTTGTCCATCAATCACGCTGAAACTACTAAATGGATTTTGATGAAATTTGTTATACAGACAGGGTATAGGCTGACTTAGGTTAGAGAATATGTCTTTTTATACCGATTAAATGCTCCCATGAGATAAAATAGTCATATTCATCAGCATATTCTACGCGGATGAAGTTGCGGTTAACAGCTAGTTTAAAATAAATGCCTGTCATCAAGGGTCAGCAGAAGTGTCTAAATTATACTTATTTTTTTACCGCTTTGCCTTTTTAAATCCCTTTTGTATTTAAGGAACAAGCTTGTTATTAAACACCATGCATTGTTTCGGTGATTAACAGAAACTTTCTGGTGGAAACGTCAACATTAATTGGGTTAAACTTAAACAAAAATTAAACTCATTAACTAATCAAGAAGATAGAGACGAAGGTATATTAGTACCAATAATAACTCACGAAATGCAAGACAATAACTTAACGTAACAAACCAATTACAATAATAATATTTGTGTTACAGAGAAACTATTTGGAGAATATTAACGTTCTCATAATAATGGCACGGCAACGTCGGGAAATGCCTTTATTGGCTTCGGATTGCGGACAATATACCGCATAACTGTGAGTGTACCTACTAAATACATAACCGTACTAGGCATACTCTAAGTTAATTGTAATAGAAACCAGATTACTTGTAAAAGGAGCAATGACCTGAAATTTGTTCTTTTTTTTTAATTTATTTTGTTGTGTAATTATTTGTTAATTTTCTTTAGAATTACTTTTGCGTGTAGTGGTTTGATAGCCGCAGAATGTATTAGGAATTACGTTTTTCTAGTTTTCATTACATAACATCACGCCTTTTATCCCGAAGGGGTAGGCAGAGGTGCACATTATGCCACTGTACAATGTAACACCCACTTTTCACTAATTTATGTTATGAGTCCCATGTAATAGGGGGTCAGCCTATTGCCATATACTGGGCACAATTCCAGACTTCGTGCTACTACTGAGAAATTTTTGAAAACCCAGTAATACTTTGCCCGACCCGGGAATCGAACCAGAGACCCCTTGCTCGGCAGTCGCACTTGCGACCACTCGGCCAACGGGGCAGTGTTCTTTCTAGTTTTCAGTAGTAGAGTAAATGCGGATTTATCAACCTCAATACCAAATTACGATTCTGATGAAAAATAGGTTTACTCTAAAAAAAATTCGTTTCAAATCATCAAAGAAAAACTATAGGGGATGGTTACCATTACCTTCATTATTGATTTCATCACTTTTAATCACGTGTAATGTTTCATAAGGCCTATCTCAAAGACCCAGAAGGAAAAAGCAATCAGAACCAGAAGTCGCTTTATTATATTTTATTTTATTATATTTATTATCCCAAAACAAATAATCGAATCTCTTTGAGTGGCCAATAAAACATGTTGTAAAAATATTTTATGGACATAATTACTCTTATATTGGTTCTGGAGATCGTTTATGAAGACTAGGAAGCAATGTCAACCCAATGACCGAGACTTAATGACCAAAAATTGATCATGATGAAATTGGATACTCCTAATCGTACTAGTCGGTATACCAGTCTTTGGAGATCATCTATCATCGTATAACATCATAATGGAAAATGATTGGCTTAATAAAATGTGATACGTAATTTATATTGTCATTTTCCCCTTTTTTGTAAGAGTATGTCTATGTGGTCTCTTTACATTACACATGGAATAGGAGTGAATCAAAATGTTCATAGGTGCAGCAGGTTAATCCACACCTTCAATTATCCTGAAGTAAGAAAAGAGTGAGTTTGAAGTTAATAGATACAAAAGAGAGATAGCTCTTTGTATCCATAATAACATATGTATGGCCTGTTGAAATAAAATAATTACAATTGCGACATAAATTAATGAATTACAAAATGAGATTCTTGGTCTAAACCTTCATGGTCTAAACAGTTACAGCATACGTCACAAAACTTTGAAATTAATTTGAACTATACACGCAAATGTGTCGAGATACAAACTTCGTCTAAATTCACATTGGATGTTTGAAGTAGTTTGAGAATATCTTCATTATGTTCATACATAATAGCAGCACTATATTTATATGACAACACTTCCGTACATATTACAGAGATAAACCTACAAAGGATTGATAGATGGAATAAATTCCTTTGACATAATGTACACGAACGTACTCGTGTATTTTGTATAATGGTGTAAATATCGAAAGATATTTGGTAACTCAAAACTTCTTTTCTTCTCAAACATGTTCCTCATTACCAAACGATAAGTAGTTAATAAAGTATTAAAAAATATTAATCTTGATGACGTCATTAAAACATTTAAACACATGATTCAATTTTAAATCTAATTTCATGGCCCTTATTTTACGACATCTTTACGCTTTATAACTCACAATTACACAATTATTATGTTCCTTCATTGCTGATCGTGTGTTGCTGAATATGAAACTATTTCTGTATTTTACAAGTAAGTTAAAAATATTAATAAAACAACTTACAATCTAATATCCTAATCAACATGTTTCTTTTCAGCCGGCTTGCTAACTCTTTTGGCAATAAATGGTAAGAAAATAAAAATACAAATAGAATCAGAAGATGTGTTAAGAATATTCGATGGAGTTGTTAATTCAGAAACGTTAAGGAACTTTGCACAACAACTTGTTCAACGAGGTATATCGAAACAAAATGGAGTTAAAAACCCATATCACCCAGAAGATGACCTCGTCAATAAATATGACGCAGTAGTTGACAAAGAACCACAATCACCACTACCACCAGGAAAGCATTCATTTGTCATAGATTTGAAAAATCCGCTTCGAGGTGAAGAAAATATAAAAAGAGAAATCGATGTATCCGACCAAAACCAAAATTCTGTTATTGATGAATATGCTGGACCGACAAAAGATCCGTTGGATCAAGAAAATGAACAATTTCTAAATGGAAATGAAGTTCCTAACGATGACATTTTAACTGAAGGTGAACTACCGGTGTCGTTGAATAACATAGAAGTTAAGTCAAAAAATGACACATTAATTGAAAAAGATGTGACAGAAAAGCGGATTAAAGTTAAAAAGGAAAATAAGAAGACAGTTGATACTAAAAGAATTGTATTAACAAGAAAAGACGACAATGGTAACGAAAAAGGTTTAGAATTACTCGATGATAGATACAATTATAAACCTCTACAAAAGAGATTTGTTTTAAAAAAATCGGCTTCAACTGGTGGTCCCCCAATTCTATAATAAATCACGGAATATAATCCTTTTGTCTCTAGTAAATGACTTTTTCTTTTCCTTACTTTGTTCCTCTCCTATCACACATGTAGATAAACCAGATATTTATGATTACTGTACAGATTCAAACATCATAGGAATGAATACAGGCCGGACAACGTAAAAGTTTCATCTTGAAATGAATAATCCAGAGAAAAATGTACCTATAATAATTATAAAATATTATCAACAGTTCAAGCTAGATTTAGTTTATAATATTTTAATTAATACTGAGAATTTATTTTGAGTTGATTTTTAACATTTTTGCTTATATTTAGGCTAAGTAGATTTCTTGATTCTCAACAGACTCAAGAAACCTACCTAAAGAAAATTATAGGTCCTAAGATAAACATAATATTATGTAATTTTCACTACAAAAAGTACTATTCACACAACATTTTGTTTAACCCTAAGATATTGTTTACCACAGAAAATGTGCTATAACACGTACTTATTGGAGCTATAAACGTTTAGTACATAACATAAATTGTTCAATAAGGTGTAAACGACTTCGCAGGTCTGTGGAAAGATATTTTATTGTAATATACTCACAAAATTTATGGTAATCATTTTGTCGTTACCGTGAGGCGAATGTACAGGCAATGTAGTAAACACAGGACCGAGTGCGAGTTATTTTTTAAAAAACGTTACCTCTTTTATATCTCTGATTGGTTGGTCAACTTGAAGCAGCCAATCAGGGGGCTTACTCTTGAATCCAATCCCGATCGATCGACATTGGTATTGCGAAATTTCGTACTCTTGAGTTGCAACACTAGAGCCCATTGCATCCGTATTGCGTGGGTATTGATTAAACTAAATGGTTTTGAGTTTTACTTTATATTCCGTACTCTGTATGTAATTTCAACAGCTACGATAGGGGTTGTATAGTTTTGACATTGAATAAAAAATTATTATGATTTTATTGGATTGAAATTGCATTGGCATTGCGATTGGTTTCAAGAGTAAGCACCCAAAGCGCCTAACGACATATACTTAGGTAAGTATTTTGTTATGGTAAAAGAAAGTCACACTAGACCTGTATACAGGTATACAGGAACTAAATTTGAAAATACTTATAAGAATATTGTGAATTTCAATCAATGAATATAATTGTCTGTGAAGTGATTTTCTCATGGAAAATAAATACTTTCGTATCCTTGAAACCACTCTTTAGAGGCGGTTTGAGCCCACTATCAAATAAAATCTCAAAACAATAATTTATAGTTGCAACAGGTTCGTAACATAAAAAATCTAAATATTCGTTACAATTTTGTACACATATATTTATTTACAATTCTCTATAAAATATAAAAATTAGGTGCCGACCAGTACGGGAGCACGGTTCAAGCTACCGGTGGTTAGGGCTCCAGAGACAGAAACCTCCTAACGATACGTGCCGTTTCTAAAACAAATGCTTCTGTATCAGGCCCAGGAGGCTGGCGTTAGGTAAATGAATCAACATCCACCTAACTAATCCTCCTTAGATGGATGTCGATGCCTTTAGGCATTTGGTAGACATTATTATTTCCTGTATTTATTTTTATACTTGACTTATATATTTTTAAATATTTGATTATATAAATAACATTTAAAAATATAAAAAGCTGTAGCCCACCAGTAACGGGAGAAATCCAAGCTACCAGTGGTCAGGGTTCCAGAGAAAGGAATTTCCGGACAAAACGTGCCGTGTCCAGAAGTACTGCTTTTTTCATAGGTAGTAGACATTATTATTAGTGCAACAATTTACTAAAATATTATAAAGACATTTCTCCTTGTAATGTCGCGTTGTAAAATCGAGTTGTGGTAAAACACGTGTAAATAGATTGGCGAAACAAGATTTGAAACTTGAGAATCATCCAAGATTTATGTATCAGAGTAGAGAAAATTCTTTATCTAATTTTGAGTTGCATTAGGTAGCCCTTTCATGTCTCTATACTAAAAGCTTCTTGTTGCACTTTATATTATTTACAAGAGTATGTACCTGTCTACTGAATTTAATGTGATGCGATTGCTCAATGAAATAAGAAATTGTTTCATCAGTCGGTAACTTTCTAGAATCATTCTCATTCTCTCGGTCATTGCCCTCACGCGATATCCAATAAAACACAAAATCGATATTCATAACAATATAATTTATATTCATTGAATAATGATGAGCAAATAAACTAATAAATGAACTAGTTTTGTTTGATCTTCAATCATATTGGTGGATAGATTAGCGATAAAGCTTCGCTAGCAAATAGAATGTGCAAATATTTAAACCTCTCTGTATTTTGGCTAAAGGCAGAAACGTAAAGCTCAGTAAAGTGCCTCCATAAACATTGTGACAAATCCCACAAACAGGGAATGAGGTACCCTGAAAATTGTTTCACCTCAGCGTGTGTAAATAAGTCCATATAAAATAATGTTTTCACGAGCTTATATTAAAGTAGGACCAGAAAGGTAGGAAAAATACACCAGGAATAAAAAAAAACTCGCAAAGGGTTAATTATATTACACTGATGGTTTAAATTGTACAACATCTCTGTATTTTCCCTATTATAATATTTTTACCTATTTTTGTCATTCACAATGTCCATATAACAATGCAATGATTATTAGTATACCATAGAGCATAGACAGCTATGCAATTTATCTAGGAAGTCGTATAATAACAGATTTGTGTTTGTTGACCATTTCAACTTTTGAAATAATATGAAAAGAAACTTTTAAAATATGAACTATGGATAATGGTTTTAATCTTATAAACATAAATACACTTAGATATTAAGTAACCGCCTGAACTAGAACTAACAAAATACTCCCTAAAATCTAGTACCGTACATGTTTTTGTCTAATTAATTTACTTTGCTAAAGGCCTTTAGGCAACTCTGTTCATACCTTTTATAAGCCCGTATCGTTCTCACTGAGAGGCGAGAGCCAGTGAACTCATGCGGACCAAATTGAAAACAATTTTGCCCTACGTGAATTTACAGACGAACCTTAACAAGAGGAAAACGTGACGGAAAAATTGAGTGCAATCGAGAATATTAGAATTTGTATGTGTACGTTTATAACACGAAATAGGTAGTAATATTGTTCATTATGCAAATGGACAGGTTTTGTTTTTTTATTTATTTATATTTAAAACACCTTAAACTATAATTACAGGGCATCATATACCCTAATGCGACAGCTAAGAACTAAACTAACAATAATCCTTACTATTATAAATGGCAAAGTGAAAAATTTTGATATTCCCGAGGGAAAACAAAAGAATTGGTATAGATGGCGCTGTGTGTATTGGTGTATGTCACATAGGCTACATTTATCATTTTGTGACGCGAGCAAAGCCGCGGGTAGAAGCTAGTAATATATAAAATCAAAAATAGGAAAAAGCTATACATCATTCACCAACATAATTAAAAATGACATATCATTATTGAAATTATCAAATCTAATTAAAATATATATTATTTTACTTATAACACAATATAAATAGTAATACCCTCGTGAATTCACCAAAACAACATGTTAACACATCAATCTGTTACAGAGATTCTGATTACAGTTACTATTTCTTGCGCTATTCAGACCTACTTTAAACACGTTTAACGCTATTGGGGTTACCGGTGACCGACATCAGCGTAAGATTTGCGTTTCATCACCATCGTCATCCACAGCCTATAAATGCTCACTGCTGAGCAACGCCTCTTCTCACATAGAGAAGGTTAGAGTATTAATCACCACGCTTGCTCAATGCGGGTTGGCGATTTTAAATTTATAACTACAATTATAATCCCAGGTTTCCTCACGATGTTTTTCCTTCACCGTTTGTCAATGGTGTCTAAATAATCTTAGAAAGTCCATGTAACTCGGAAAAAGTCACATTGGTACTTGCCGTTGGTAGGTTTCTAACCCGCAACTCCATGCGTGAGAAGCAAGCGTCTTAAACCTCCGTACCACCACGACACACAGAATATGCGTTTAACAGTTTTCAATTACCAGTCTCAGACTCAATGACCAATGAGATCATTACTATAAATTAGACAGTTATCACTGAACACACGGCTCAGTTTCAGACAATAACCGACCGATCTAATATTAAATGCCTATTACAGGAAATACAGACGAAGTTGTCGGTGTCAACGACTCTCCAGAGTCACAATTGTAAACTATTTTATGTAACTACTTTGTCTGAATAAAGGCTTATATTATTATTATTCCATATATTTATTTAAAATTTCTCTAAAATTACATTTTTAAATACTATAGTATAAAAAATAATATTTAAAATATAAAAATAGGAGCCGACCAGTAGTGGGAGCATGGTCCAAGCTACCGGTGGTTAGGGCTCCAGAGATAGAAACCTCCTCACAATGCGCGCCGTTTCAAGGAGAACTGCCTTCTGTATCTGCCTTGTGTATAAATATTATTATTATTATTACAGGAAATACTTTCAATCAAAACACAGTGAACTCAGCACAAAATTCAATTATAAGACATACATTATATAACATTAAATAAAGCCTAAGTAAGCCCAGAACTGACGGGGCACGTTAAGGAACTTTATCTATTCTTGTGAACTTGCTCGTATGATAACGGTTTATTATGGGCAGGCTATAGCAATTTTATGGCCCAATTGACCTTACTGCTGAACTTTTCATGTCATTTTATGTAAGTTCACGAACCTCTAACTTATGGCGTTTGGTGAATGAGGCTGGATTTTGATGGCGGACAATCTTTTCCGCGTTTAATGAGCGTGTTATCTTCCGTCTGTTTGTGTGGTTTGATAATATTATTTGTTTGAGTGTATTTTTGTAGTGGGGCTTTTGTTTATTGTTTTATCAAGGACACAGACACATATGTTTCTGTTTTTTTTTATAACATTTTGTGCATCGTCCGCGCCTCATGAGTGAACAGTGATGATACCGGTTACCAGTTAACTCTGTCGCATTTGTACTTATGAAAACTAAACATCGCTTAAATAAAATAAAAATAAAAAATATGTAAACACGAAGCGACGCAACGTCCACTGTAGAACAGAACTCGCTCAATGACTATCGGATCTGTTAGTTTGAACCGACCTATTAATAAAATTACTATTATATATTGAAATTGTTTTA